CCCCCCCCCCCCGCCTAAGGATGGGCTGGAGGTTAGCGGGTCAGCCCGCATACAAAAAAAAAATAGAAAAAAAAATATATTTTATGTTCAAATAAAAAAAAATTTGCTACAAATAAATAAATATAACCATATGAAATTAAAAATGCATACATATTGTACATAATATATTCAATAAAAACAAATTACAAACTTAGAACAAAATTAAATAGAAATTAGTCTATTTACACCAAAATCAAAACCAAATTATAAACTTACACAACTAAATTTTTTGATAGTTCACAAAACAAGTTTAAATACAATTAATTAACTTTAAATTTTTATTTTAAGAATATTAGAAGCTCTCTTAAAAGAAGATGTCTCTACTTTTTTTCTTGATCATCTTCATCCTCATCTTCTACATCAAAATAAAATAAACATAAAAATAATTAAATTTTAAAAAATATATATGCGGGTCGGCGAGTTGTGACGGGCTGGCCCGCTATTTGACCCGGAGGGTTGACGGGCTTGGCGGGTTGGCAGGTTGAAATGATGCGCCCGGCCCGCGGGTTACCGCTCACTTTGCCATCCCTAGTTCACACCATTTGTAAAACGACCCTTCTTGTAAGCCGTTTGTTGTGTGAGATTGTTGCTGTTGAGTGTTGAGCAAGGGCCTGCTGGACTAAGTGTCTTTCACAGCCAAACCCAACTACCTGCGACCTTAATTTAATGTTTAACTTTAACCCATGCCCCCTAAAAAATTATAATTGGAAGATTGATAATAAGTTTGAGCTGTTTATAAAATAGGATATATGTTATGATTCTATATTAGAATATGCATAAGAAAATAATATAACGTATTTATATAAAATAATATTGGTTTTAGAATTTAAAACTTATAAGATGATATATTTGATGTCTAAAGTTAATTTAGAATAAGACTAAAAAATATACATTTGATATATTTTTGCAATTGTAAACCAACATAGTTTAAATGCATTTTAAGATAAGTACATCATTTAAATAATTTAGCTCCCTAGTAGTTATTACAAAACTTTCGTAATTAATTATGAAACAGAAGAAATTTAAAAATTGGGTCGAAGCATTCATTTGTAAATGTGATATGTTATATCTTTGTTTTGGTTAATATTATCATTGGAAATAGAAGAGAAAAAAAAATCCTAAATAATTATAAGTATGACAATTGGAGAAATTAAAATTATGTGATAATGTCAATCACAAGGCATATATTAATAAATTAAGTGTGAATTTTTTTATCTTAAATTGTGAAAAACTTTGTTGTAAACAACATTTGAAGTGACATTAAATACTTTTCCATCATCGTATGATATTAGTATCTAAAAAAACACGTGAAGTAATCATTGAAATAACAACATATAATTATCCATGTGAGAAAATAGGTTATGGAAGAAAGATGCCAACACATCTGCGAAATTGCCCTAGACTCTTATTTATGGTAAATGCAAAAGAAACAACAACACAAAATTGTATACGCGGAAATCTGAAAGGAATTATGTGATTAGATGGGCTCAATAACAATCTTGAAATATAAAGCTTGTGTACAATATCACTTCTTGATATGACTTTTGCCTCAAAGTACATGATTCCCCATTTGATTAATTATAAGTCGAGTATCATTACATAAACTTGAAGACCAATCAATATTCATCAACATTATTGAAACACTGATCTTGAGATTTAACTAATAGAAAATAATTTAGATGTCTCTTTACCTTGTACTAAAACTTAATTTATTAAAATAATATAAAGGTTAATCGGCCAACTAAAGATATATAATAAATAAAAATTTGTCAATAGTATTTTAAAGTTCACAACTAAAAATACAAAATAATATTTTGTGTGCTTTCAAACATAAAGACACGGAAGGGGAGAGTACGACAAATGTGTTGAATTAAAAAAAATGTTGAATTCAACAAAAATACAAAATTTTACAATTAATCAACTTTGAAGTATAATCAGAACTGACACTAGATCTCGTTTAGGGGTTGATCGTTTTGATCCATGATTAAGAATCCAAAATTAAATTATGAGATGTATATAATTGTGAGATGATTTTTATATTATTTTTAAAATAAATTATTATCTCTTATATTTTTTTATATCTAAATATCAAATTGTGATACGATTATAAAGTCATGTTTATATTATTAATTTTTATGTATTATTTTCATATGTAAAAGGGTTTTTAAAATTTATTTTTTGGATCCTTTAGAATTAAGTTTAGTTTTAATCTTTCAAAAATGTTATTTGATTTTAATCATCTAATTTATAGATGCATCAGTTTTGGTCATCAAAGTTATTTATATAGTACATTATAATAAATGATATTATAAAAGCATTTCTTTTAGATTTGTTAATATTATATTATTTGTTTAATGTAATAAAACATGTCATTTTCAATTAAATTATGTATCTAATTTTACATTATAAATATTTATATATAAAAACTCATACCAATAAATTATTGTTAGTTTAAGTAATATTAGACTCGGTTTCTTTAAATAAAATATAAGATAATCAACTAGGTTCTTAGATATATTAATAACTTAATTATTTAAAATATATAATTTCCATATTTATTATTTTTCTTATGTCTCATAAAATAAAATATCAAGAATCATCTCATGTAAAACAATCATAATGTGTACTTGGATGGTGTGGGGTTAAATTCATAGTAAGATTATGTTAAATATGTTCATTTGGAGAATATATATTTATGTGTTTCTAATCTACAAATAATACACGAACCTTTTGTTCCTCTGATTGCAGCACGTAGGTAATAACTAATGTATTATATTGTAGTAAACTTTAATTCATAATAAACCTCATCAAGTTTCTTTTTTTTTTTTTTACTGAATACTCATAAAGTCTATTTGTAATTTTGTTTAACAAT